ACCTTGGCCCACAGAGAGCTCCCACATGACAGTCCCTTCTTCTACCCTCCACTAGCCTTTGAGTGGTAGCAGGGCCCTGGCCCTCTTGGCCCTTTGCAGAACTCAGCTCTGGTAAAGGAGGAAGCCAGGGTCACACAAGGGTGACACCTAGTGGTACAGAAGTGAAAATGACAAAAGAAGTCAACAGGTAACCTGGAGTGTGTGCCTCCTAGGACTGTCCACTGAAGATGACAATACTCCAGGAAGATCACAAGATGACCTGAATTCCCACAGACTATGCTAACCTCACTCTTGGCTTTCACAGTGTTTACCCTGTTGTGCCAGCTGTTCCCAGTCCTTATGTCACTGACAGCTGTGGCCTGTCCACACCTGGCATCAAGTATGGTGGCCCACACCATGCATGCTCCACTCCCTGTTGCCACTGAGAAACACCAGTTGCTCACACCTACTCCTGGCCCAGCCCTGAGCTGCAGCCACATGGGCCTGTTCTTGGATATTCTTGCCTGTTCACAGGGTCCCTTGGGCTCTGTGCTTCACACCACAGATAACTGCTGCTATGCCCCCCAAATGTGGGAGGGCTGGTGTCCAAGGGTATTGAGTTTGTTGCTTTAACTTCCATGACATTCCTCTCCCTTCCTCCTCGGGTTGAAGATTTAGATATGGTCATCTTAGGCAGTCTCCGTGGGGATAACCTGATCATCTTCCACCAGCCCCACTGCTCACCGTGACCACTTCCTCAGCACTGCTCCACTGCAGTCCAAGTGCCCAGAGCTGGACCCCTAGGGGATAAATTTCCCAAGTAATGCCTGGGGAAGATAGGGCTAAACCCCTGATGAGAGGGCAAGAGAGACCCTGGAGGAGGCACAAGGCAAGCAAGGGCTGGGGACTTGATACAGCTCGAATTGCTGGAGGGAACTGCAGTCAGTTCCGTGGTGACAGTGATGAAGTCAAGTTCAAAGCAGGCGGGGGATAGGGAGAGGGTTGAGCTGAAAGCAGATAAACTACACTTTGAAGTTAGAACTGTCACCTCTCAAGTCCGACCCCAGACCCTCGGAATCAGAAACTCTGGCAACTGTGCAATCTGAGCACACACAGTCCTCCGGGTAACTTCAGTGCACAGGGACACTGGAGAACAGCTGGACTTGGGCTACAACAGTGCACATCAGTGTCCCCAAACTAACATGGGGCAAAAAGTCAGGTATGCAATAGCACACTCGTCTGATACCATTATATATAGTGTTTAATACCATTACATATAGTGTTTAACTGTGCAGCATATATTATACTGCCCACAGACACTGGCACCTGAAGCAGAAAGATAAAGAGATCTATATAGGAGTTAAAATACCCAATCCATAATAGCTCCTTATGGAAGGGGAATGAGCAGGCCACAAGCAACCTGCAGGGACAGACAGCAGACCAATGCATCGATGAGATGCTTCTCTTTGAGTACTTCATTGCATTATTCCTTAAAACTACGTACACATTTTTTAAATAGTGATTAAAATACATAGGACAAAATTAAACACCTTTTGTCATTTTAGTTCTACAATTCAGTAGCGTTAAGTATATTCACATTCTTGTGATACAGAGCTCCGGAACTTGTCCATTTTGAAAAATCAAAACTTTCTGTCCTTGAAACATCAAATTCTTATTCCCACCCCAGCAGCTCTTGATAACCGCCGATCTGACCTTCTGTTTCTGTGACTGACTACTCTCAACAGCTAACCGAAGTGGAATCACACAGCATTTCTCTCTTCATGCCTAATTGCACTTAGCATAATGTCCTCAAGTTTCCTCCAAGTTGCAGCCTGTGACAGGACTTTCCTCCTTTTCAAGGCTGATTAGTATTCCACTGTATGCATAGGCCACATTTACCTGTTGATGGCCATTCAAGTGACTTCAACCTTTTGGTTATTGCAGTGATGCTACCATAAACCTGGGAGAGCAAATCTTTTCAAGATGCTGTTTTCCATTCTTGTGTCTGTATAATCAGAAGTAGGATTGTTAAATCATATGGTAGTTCTATTTTTAATTTTTAAAGGAAGCTCCATACTGTTTTCCATAGTGGTTACATCGTTTTTAAATTTCCCCAACACCTGTTATTTCCTGTTTTTTTAAAATAATAACCATTATAACAGATATGAGTTTCTATCTCATTGTGGTTTGGATTTCAATTTTCCTCATGACTTGTGATGTTGAGCATTTTTTCCTATGTTTTTGGCCATTTGTAAATCATCTTAGACAAATTTTATTCAAATCCTTTGCCTATTTTTAGTCAGGTTATGGGGTTTTGCCATTGTTGCAGAATGCTTTTAAATTGCAGGAGTTCTTCATATATCTTAATATTATCCCCTTCTCAGATACATACTTTGAAAATATTTTCTCCTATTCTCCTCTCCTTTCTCCTCACTCCAGACTTTAAAAATGAAAGTCTTCAGTATTTGTGACCAAAAACATCTGCACTGTTTCAAATGTCCCCAGGAGAACCTGGTGTGTGGTGACTATTGGGAAGCTTTTCTCTAACAACACTGTCTCCTACCTTGTATGTATCACAGTGCTTACACGGTGTTGGAGATCCAAATGCGTTGTGTTAGTCGATGGACAAGAGTACATGCCAACGAGGTCTTTATTTGGAAAGGTATCCTAAGCCTTCCTATCTTCTGGATTTAAGTCCAAGGCTGTTCCCTTGAGTCTCACTGGCAGCACTTTTTGAATTTTCTCTCGAGTAAGGAAGGCAGTGAGCCATTGTCAGGAATGACCCTCTGTTGTCCGTGGCTGGAGGCTGTCTTTCAAGCTGCCAGAACTCGGGTCCCCACCTGGTGTGTGTGTATTGTCCAGCCTGCAGCCTGCCAATGGAGCAGGTAATGAGTCTGAAGCTTCAAGCAGCAGTTGGGGTCAGACTGTCCTCTGTCATAAGGGACAGCTTGTTCCTAGCAATCTCTCTTATAAAAGACCTGGAATCCTGCTCCGTATATAGCCTTAATCTCAAGAAGAGGAAAAATGTTAAGGTTACTTTCTGATAAAAGCCCACTGTATCTTTTATGGCAATATTCTACAAAGGATGGTAACTGCTGGGATCATACAGCTGATGGTGAACGTGATTCAATCGGGGACCCCACTGCAGTGGGCTCTGAAGAGAATGGCTGGTCTGTTATTTTAGTAGGGCTTTTCACTGTTGTGACCAAAAGATCCAACCAGAACAACTGTAGAGGAGGAAAAGTTTATTTGAGGGCTCACGGTTTCAGAGGTCTCAGTCTATAGATAGCAAGTTCCATTGCTCAGAGTTCAAGGTGAGGCAGAGCATCATGGTGGAAGAGTGTGGCAGAGGGAAGCGGCTCACATCATGGTCAGGAAGCAGAGAGAGGGGTCTCTACTTGCCAAGTACAAAATATACCACAAAGCCACGCCCTCAATGCCTACCTCCTCCAGCCACACCCCACCCGGCTTCAGTCACTGCTCAATTAATCCCATCAGGGGATTATTGCAGGTTGGGTTAAGACTCTCACAACCAATCATTTCTCCTCTGAACCTTCTTGCATGTCTCACATGTGAGCTTTTGGGGGTTACCTCACATCTAAACCCTAATACCTGTCTTGATGGAAGAGGACAAAGGAAGGCTATCTTTGGAGGTGTGAGGCCATGCACAACTCAGGCAGCAAGAAATCCAGCTTGTGCGGCCAGCTCGAGCCATTTTCTCAAAATGACCATCTCCCTAGGGAGAGATAGTGTGCAAATATTGTGAGAAGCTCAGAGGTGAGCTCATAAAATTATACCCAATGGCTCTATTATCAACTCGGGTTTTGTTTTAACATTTCTTTTAAATGTGCAAAAAAAAAAAATCAAGGAAGAAAAAATAACACCAAGTAAAAAGACTCAGAAAAGGGAGGGAAGTGGAGAGTCTGAATAAACAAAAAGCAGAGAGAAAATACAGAAATGGATAAAAGAATGGCAGAGAAGGGTGAGCAGGTAGGTCCTGATGCCTCCATTTCATTTTTATTTGACCATAAGCTTTTTACTTTCCTGACCCATAAAAATTATCTGCAATCTGTCTCTTTTTTTCCAGGCCTAAAACAGGTATTGAGGGATAATCTAGAAGGTCTTAAATGGCCTGAGCACAGCCTGTGGCTGTCCTTAGACGACCTTGAGTTGGTGTGTTCAGGAGACGATGCGGCCACAGGAGCAGAGCCCATCTCTGGATCTGGAGCCTTTTCTCGTCCCCTGCTGGCTGCCGCCTCCCCTCCCACCACCTCCTGGAAGGCGTTCAGCTGAATCCCTAGATGTGCAGCTGCAGGCCACCCCTTGCTATTCGGGGGACAGATATTTAGCTATGCATAGTTGGAGCCAGGATGCCAGGCGCACATCATCCCTGTTCCCCTCACTCCCACAGGAAGAGCCCTGAGAAACTGGGAGGTCCTGGAGGCCTCAAGGACCCCTGGGTTCCACTCCCACCCTCACCCAGGGCACACAACACATCCGGAGCAGAAGTCTAGGCTTCCTCCGTCCAACCTTCAAAAAAAGTACTGACCCTGTGTCCTCAGCCTCGTGCTCTGTGTCACCCACCACCTTGCCGTGATTAAACAGGGAGAGAGAAGGGCACGAGGAATTAAACGAGAGGGCGTTCTCACAAGCAACTCGAGTTACAAATACTGTGCTGCCATCTGCGCCACTAGCGAGGGCGATTCTGAACTTCCAAGGGAGGTGGCGACCATCTCTTCCCAGGTCCTCCCGTCCCCCTCCCATCAGGGTCCACAACCTGCCACGCGAAGATCAGGACATGGTTTCGAAGTCGAAATCAAGCTTACTCTTTGTATTAAAAAGACAGAAATTATTTTTAAAAAGGATATAAATCTTCGATGTCGCTATTCTAGAATTAAAAAAATAAATAAATACCTCCAAGCCGATGCTGATTTACCAAAGGAAGTCTGCGTTGCTTCCGTAACTGAGGGGAAAAAAGACTGGAAAAATGTCACCCAGACATTAGATGGGTGTCTCCTTACCTCTGAAAGATTGGGGCACAACGGGGTTAGGTCTTTCTCCACCTCAGGACCCTGGGAGCCTGAAACCCTTTTCCTGTTTTTCTGCCAACTCTTCGAATCTCTTTCTCCACACCCTCCTCTACTTCCGGGGTCCTGACTCCTGGCCGGCTACCCCTTCCGGGGCAAGGTGTTGACCCGGATATGAAAGGCAACACTTCCTGCGGCCCCGTTCCTCCCCTTTCCCAGCTCAAACAGCCCCCTCAATCATTCGTGAACATTAAGGCTTTACTAAAGATCTCAAAAGGAAGGAGGAAATCCACGTTGACACCAAGGACACCCCAGTCCTCGCCCTTCTTAAGCATCTCTGGACCCTGTCAACTAAAAATGTTCATTGGTCGCTCAGCTTGTTTCACTCAATTCTGATGACTCTTCTTTTTTGGGTCACTTTTTCTCCTCTCTCTTTTCCTTCCCACCCCTTTCAGGAGCATTAAAATATAACTTTCTCCATTTCCACAAAAAGCTTGGTTCCTGCCACACATGGGATGGGTGGCAGGGGAAGGACTCACCAAGGAGTCATTTCAAACATGAGCCTAAAAATACATCCAAGAAAAAAGAAGGACCAAGCAACTGGTGGCCACACGGATGAAGCAGGCAGACTGCGGGGACCTTTCTGTGACCCCGGGCGCTTCACCTGCGAGCTGTCCACAGGCAACAGGGGCTTAACCGGCATGAGCCTGGGGGCTGCACTGCTGAGAAAGAAGAACCCTGGGAGCCAGCTGCAGTGGCACACACCTGTAATCCCAGCACTCAGGAGGCTGAGGCAGGAGGATCTCGAGTTCAAAGCCAGCCTCTGCAACTTAGTGAGGCCCTAAGCAACTCAGTGAGACCCTGTCTCTAAATAAAATATAAAATAGGACTGGGGATTGGCTCAGTGGTTAAGCAGCCAGGGAAGAGCATTTATTCTCTACTTTTCATGTTTTCATGTACAGTGTGTCCAATGGTGTTCCTCTAAACAATATGTCAGAGACCCCAAATGTGCAGATGTAACCTTTGAGGACAACGATCTTTGTGATGTTCTTGAATCAATGCTCTCTCTCACAGCTATAGTGATCATTCCTGTAAGAGGAGACAGAGAGAGGAGGAGATGGAGGCACAGACAGCAGTGGTGTCCCAGCCACCAGAAACCAGGAGTAGAGCCTGCGAGGGGAGCATGACTCTGCCCACACGTTGACTGGGACTTGCCTCCAGATGTGTGATGGAATAAATGGCTGATGTTTCCAGCCACCTGGTTTATGATTGTCTGTTACAGCTGCCCCAGGAACCTAGTTGGCAAGAAGAGGGACCTGCATTCCTGGCCATGTCCCGGAGGAGGTCGCGGACTCTCCCTGTCTCCTGCATTTGGGATCTGCCCACCTGCTGTCTGCCAGTGTACAGGGTGTTGAGTGTGAACCAGGGGGAGAGGGGAGTGTGAAGGAGCCGTCCCGGTGGCTGGTTCCTGCTCCTCCAGTTTCACTATGACTGTGGTGATACCTGGACCCCCATGTGCCGGACTCTTTTGCCCGTCTTTCAAGAGATTTATTATTTATTTTTTTATTTTATTCCTAAAATCTTGAAATAAATGAAAGGAGCAAGGCAGAGCTGTGAGCAGAAAGTGAGCTAAGAATTTGATGGCAGGCAGAAATCCAGATAGGCAGGAACAGGAGGGTGGCTCTGCTGGCCCATTTCAGGGACTGAGCTGTGCCTTTGCCAGAGGTGTTCCCGCCCCCAAGATACTCTACCTCCATCTCCTGGAAAATGGTCCTAATGTGTTGACTTGGGTACAACCAGACAGTGGCCCGTCATCTGCCTGGAAATCCACAATTCTAGTGCAAACAGCCCCTCAGGTGCCCTCCAGGGAGAGAGGTCCTCTCTCTGTCCACAGGCAGTCAGCCATGCTGACTCCCCATTACAGTAGGGAAAGGCCAGGGCTCTCTTCCTCCCCCCTCATTCATATCCTTTAAAGGCCACCAGCCGAGTTAGACTTTCCCTGTCTGTGGTGCAGTTTGGAATCAAGGACCCACGCTTGTTACAGGTAGCTAAAAATGCCCACATTTCACACAGAACAGCCCCTGACATTGTCTCACTTTAGGCCTCTGGGAACAGACCCTTTTCAGAGCCACCAAGCACCTTGCTGTTGCTGAATGTAAGCCTCAGGTCGCGATGCAGTTCACAGACGCTGGCACAGCCCCGCACTCGGTGCTCACCCCCACCAGGAAGCCTGCATTTCTCAACGGTCTAATTTATGCCAGGGGAGGGAGAGGGGCACAATTCTGAAAGAGAATCCCAAATGCCATTACCCTGAATGTTGAAATCCCTAGAGTCTAAACTTCCTAAAGTCTAAATTCTTGAAAGACCAAAATCCCCAAAATATAATTCTGGAAGAAGAAATTTTAAAAGTCTTTAAAACACATTTATTTATATTTTTAAAGGGGAATTTATTTGAGAGCCATATAACACAGCAGAGCGCTTCACAGGTCATGTGACACAATAAAAAATGATTTTTGCACACAAATACTCAGGTATACTCATGACAGTCTCACAGATATAGTAGTTATGAGCAGATGAACTGTATTCATAAAGAAAAAATATCAAAATCAAAATGTTTATAGCAGCTCAATTCACAAAGCTAGACTATGGAACCAACCGAGGTGTCCTTCAATAGATTAATGAATAAAGACAATGTGGTCTATATTCTCAGATGAATATTACTCAGCTTTAAAGAATAGTGAAATTATGGCATTTGACAGTAAATGGTTGAAGTTGGAGAATATCATGCTAAGCAAAATAAGCCAATCCCAAAAAACCAGAGGCCGAATGTTTTCTCTTATATGCAGATGCTAATTCACAATAAGGCAGGGGGCACTAGGGAAGAATAGCATTACCTTAGATTAGGCAGAGGGAAGTGATGGGAGGGAAGGGGAGAGGATTTGGGATAGGAAAGACAGTAGAATGAAACAGACATTATTACTGTATATATGTGACTGCATGACCAGTCTGATTCTGCAACATGTACACTCAGAAAAATGAGAAATTATATCCCATCTATGTATGACCTATCAAAGTACATAAATGCCTTCTACTGTCAGGTATAACTAATTAAAACAAATTAAAAAATTCAAAATGTAAAAACTCATTTCACTATAGGTGATCATTGTGTGCACTCAGCTTTATAATGGAAACGTTAATAATCCAAAACATTGCAATAGACAACCTAAGTGTTATGAAGCAATTGATCAAAACCCAGGGTGGGCCTCCATTCTGCATGTGCAGTGGCCTCAAATGCTGAGATCTCAAAAAATTTTATGTTTCACAAAACCAGATATACATAGAAGAGCATCTCTTCGTGCACTGAGGAAGTTTCAACATTCTTATGTATGGGCTTCCACGCAAAGTCAGCATCTCGATCGTGCATTTTCTCAGAGTTCAATCTGCAGAAATTACAGAAAACAAGTCAAAACTCTCTAAAAATCTTTGTACCATGTATACCTCCACTTTTAGAAGTGATGCACAGAGGGAACTCAAGGAAGAGGCTATTATCTGACAGTTTTAAACAGTGTGTGGGGGAGATTTAGAAAAAGGAAAAAAAACTAACAAGAAAATTTGACATATGGAAAAATGGATTAAAGGGACAGAATCTGGGAGATGGCACAGAGGTAGTCCAGGAGGCTGGCTGGCTTTTTCCACTCATTAACTCTTTTGAAGTCTTTTGTTCTGATGAATAGCTTCTCCCTTTTAGGGCATGGCTCTCCTTGGAGAATATGATATGGTCCACATGGTCTACACTTTTGAAATTCTCCTATGATCCGAAACCTCTAACATGAACATTCCTTATTAGATTCCCTGTCTTCTAGGCCAAGCTTCCGTGTGGTCTGGGGTCTGGAGCGTGCTCCATGTCACTTGCAAACAGATCACAGTGATGGTACATCAAGGGCGCTGCATAGATGTCTTCTTATTCCACCAGGCACATGACTATTTTTTAATATTATTTTTTAGTTGTCGTTGGACACCTTTATTTTTGTTTTTATTTATTTTTATGTGGTGCTCAGGATTGAACCCAGGGCCCCGCATGTGCTAGGTGAACTCTCTACAGCTGAGCCACAACCCCAGCCCGGGGAACATGACTATTGTTAAACCAATCAATAACTTCACCAGCTTCTTGGAGAAAATGCAGCTTTAATTCATTAATTATTAATTACTATTGATTATTAGTTATTCATTAATTTCATCAGCTGGAAGGAAAGTCAGCACAGACAAGGATGCATTTCTTTTTTAGCTAAGTTTTGGACACTGCCTAATCTTGTGGCCAATCTGCTCCTCAAATTTCCGCTTTCTGTCCCTGTTCTACAGCTTTTCCCCTCATGGGAATTACATTTTCAGATTTCAGTTTTCGGGATTTCAACATTCAGGGCTGTGGAGTTTGTAACTGTGCTTTGCAGAGTCATAAGGACGGTGGGTGGTGGCTCAGGAAGTGGCTGAGTGACTGGAAGAGTGAACAAATGTCCCGTGGGTACCACCAGGACAGCTTCCTCCCAGAGTCAAATGTGCCTAAGGTGTATTTGCTCATAGGTCACCTCTGTGACCTTTCCCATAGCCGAATTCGGCCTGTCCTATTATCTTCTGGGTATTCTTTAAGTCCACTCACTTTTTTCCCTTAAATGTTTCCAGTAGAAAAACTAGTTTAAAGGGAAATTTTATAGCCTAAATAAAAATCAGCATCTTCCTACAGCAGCAAAACATTCAGTCCACGTACCACTTGTTGTGGTTTAGCACTGCTGTGTCCCCAAAAGCTCACGGGTGAGACAACGAGAGAGGATTTAGAGAGGAGCTGGTTGAGTTGAGAACAACAACAACCTGGCCCGTGCATTCGCCCCCTGATAGAGAAGAACCGGGTGGTGACTATAGGCAGGTAGGGTTGTGGCTGGAGTCACGGAGAGGAGACCCTTCTCTCTAAGCTTCCTGGTGCCATGTCCTGAGCTGTTCTCCTCCACCACACTCTTCAGCCACGCTGTCCTGCCTCACTCTGGGCCCCATGGAACGGACTCAGCCATCAATAGACTGAGGCCTCTCAAACTCTAAGTGCCA